ACCAGCCAACAAGTCAACCTGCTCTCCCAGCGCAAGTACAAGAAGAATGGCCTACACCTGCCGTACTCCAGCCAAATGCAACAGAAAAACTGCAACCCTCCTCTCAACGATTTCAGCGATGCCCAGTGGGAAGGTGATCCTTCCATCCACCTCCTCTCAGAAGCAAGCTCAGCACACTGACCTAAATGATATCTAGGAACACTTCACCAACAGAGGAACACACGTTTTCCTGAAGCACCCCTGAGACATTCACCAAGATGATCATGCACTGGGTCATAAAACAAACCTGAGTAATTCATGAAATCATACAAAACTGAAATCATAGCATATTTCTATGATCACCATGAAATCAAACTATAAATCAGTAATACTAAGATAAAAGTAAAATCTCCAAACAACTGGAAACTAAACAACATAGTTTTGAATACACACGTTAAAGAGGAAGCCTCCAGAGAAAAAATTACATAAAACGCAATGAAAATGAAAATACAGGATATCAAGGTATGTAGGGCACAGCTAAAGTAGTGCTGAGGAGAATTTACATTAAAAAAAGAAAAGGTTTCAAACATAATCTAAGCTCCTATCTTTAAAACTGAAATGAAAAAAAAAGCTGATTCTTCTAAATAAAATGAGAATCACAAAATTTCTAGCAAGACTGACAAAAAGATACAAATCACTAACATCAGGAATGAACTACAGACATGGTGGCCATTAAAAGGAGAGCAAAGGAACAGCTTTATGCTCTTAACTTTGACAACATCTAAAACATGGGCCAATTCCTGAAAACCCACACATTTCCAAAATTCAACAAAGATGAAATAGACAACCTGAATAGTCTTTTAACAATGGAAGAAATCAAACTTTTACAACTCCCTTCCCCTGAACCATGGACTAGTACCTCTCACAAACTTAGATTCAAAAATCTGCAACAAAGTATTAGCTGACTGAATCCAGCAATGCACAAAAAAATACACACCATGAGCAAGTGTGATTTACTACAGGTATGCAAGGCTAGACCAAGTAGACCAAGTGTGGTTTAGTCTAGCTAGCCAACTCTGGTTCAGTATTCCAAAACCAACAAATGCAATCCAACATGTCAACAGGCTAAAGAATAAAACAAAAAAAATCTTATGATCCTATCAATTGATGCATAAAAACATTTAATAAAATCCAATACCCATTTGTGATAATAACTCTCAGTTAACTAGGAATAGAGAGAAACTTCCTCAACTTGGTGAAAAACATCTAGAAAACATGACAGCTAACAACACACTTAAGGAAGACTGAATCTTTTCCTGTAAAACTGGGCACAGGCAAGGATGCCCACTCTCACCACTGTTACTAAACATAGTACTGGAAGTTCTAGCCACTGCAATAAGGCAAAAAAAAAAGAAATAAGGCACAGAGATTGGAAAGGAAGAAATAAAATGGTCCCTATTTGCAGATAACATGATTGTCTATGTAGAAAATGCTGAGCCACCGAAAGTAATAAGTGCATTTATCAAGGCTGCAGAATACAAAATCAACACACACACAAAACTCATTTTGATATATTAACAATGAACATGTAGAACTTGAAATTAAAAACATATCTGCAGTCCATTTACCTTTATGTTATCATTTATAGCCATTTCAAAGAAAATGGAATACTCAGGTTTAAACCTAAAACATGTACAGGTTCTGTATGCTGAAAACTATAAAATGCCGATGAAAAAATTTAAAAAACCTAAATAAATGGAAAAACATACAAAGTTCATGAACTGGAAGATTCAACATAGTAAATACATCAATTTTCCCCCAAAACATCTACTGGTATAATGTGTTCATATCAAAATCCCAGCAAAGTTTTGTGTGTGTTTTTTTACAGAGATACAGACAAGCTTACTCTACAATTTATATGGAAAATCTCTGGGGCCTAAAATAGATAAAACAACCTTGAAAAATATAAAGTGGGAGTTACATAGTAATCATGATAGTATGGACAGAGGGATAGACACATAGATTGGTGGATAGAATAAAAATACCCAGAAAAGGCCCAACTGAGTTTTGACAAAGGTGCAATACTAGACACACACAAGCAAAAAATGAACCTAAACCTAAACCTCACATTTTATATATGAAAATTAATTCAAAATGGATCATGGACTTACTGTAAAGCCACAAAATTTTTAGGAAGAAAAACAATCTTTGGAATCCAGGCAGAGGGCTAGGCAAAGAGTTTTAGACTTGACAGCAAAAGCTTGATTCACAGAAGGAAAACTGATAAATTAAACCTTATCAAAATAAAAAGTTTCTGCTATTCAAAAGATCTGTTAAAAGTTTGAAAAGACAAGACACAAACTGTGAGAAAACATTTGCAAATTGCAATTGTGGTGAAGAACTTGTATCTATAATGTATCAAGAATGCTCAAAACTCAACAGTAAAAAGACAATCAGTTCAGGTAGAAAATAGGTGAGACACGAACAGACATTTTACTGAAGAGGATACACAGGTGGTAAATAAGCGCGAGAAAAGTCATTCAACATCAGTAGCCAGTACAGCAATGCATGTTAACACCACGAAAGAGATGTTACTGCACACCTATGAGAATGGCTAAGTTAAAAAACAGTGACAACACCAAATGCCGTCAAGGATGCAGAGGAGCTGGATCAGAGATACATTTCTAGTGGGTATGTAAAAGAGTACAGCCACTTGGGGAAAATGTACAGCAGTTTCTTACAAATGTGCTTACCATAATAACCCAGAATTCACACTCTCAAAACAATTATCCCAGTTAACGAAACTCATGTTAACACAAAAACCTATACACAAATATTTAGTCACTTTATTTAAGACAGCTACAAACTATAAACAAACTGGTTAACTGAAGGGTGGTATAACCAAGCCACAGAATACTGCTCTGCAAGAAAAAGGAATAAACTATTGATACACACAACTTGGAAGATCTCAAGGAATTTATTTTAGGTGAAGATATCCAAACTCTAGAGGTTGAGTACTATATGATTCCATTTACACAGCATTCTTGAAATGATGGAACTATAGAGGGGAATAGGCTAGTGGTAGTCAGAGGTTAGTAAGGCGGAGTAGGAGGGAGTGGTTGTGGTATAGAAGAGTAGCAGAAGGGTCCTTATGAGTGAACTGTTCTGCATCTTGACTGTGGTGGTGGTTGTCTGAAATTACACACACACGAGTACAAGTTAAATTTGAGGAATCTGAGTAAGATCAGCATGTTAGATCAATACTGATATGCTGGTTATGATCTTTACTATAGTTATGCAAGATTTTACCCTGGGGGAAATGCATGAAGGGTATATGGGATCTCTTTCTATTATTTCTTACAAATGCATGTGAATCTACAATTACCTCAAAATAAAAAGTTTAACAAATGTAAATGACTGGTATTCCCAACAAAAATGCATATAAGCTGGATCTAATCATGAAGGAACATCAGCCATTAGACAAACTCAAATATACAACAACTGGCCTGTACTCTTCATAAATGTCAGTGTCATGAAGCAGATTAAGAAAGACATGACAATTGAATTATAACAAGCAATCTAATCGGATTAAACCAGGGTTTTCTTTACTATATGGACTTAATAAGACAATTTCACACAACTTAGAAGGTCTTTAGATTACATAATGGTATTGTATTGACGTTAATTTCCTGATTTCGGTAATCATGCTATGGTTGTTTAAGAGAATGTTCTTGCTTTTAGAAAAAAACACAATGAGGTATTTAAGGGTACAGAGTCTTCACATCTCAAACTTACTCTCAAATGGTTAAAAAAAAGTATATACACATAGGAAAGGAAGCATGACAAAATGTTAACAGCTGGGGAATCTGGTTAAGAGAATACTTTATACTATTCTTGTAACTTGTATAAGTCTGAAATTATAAATAACAAAAATTATAATAAAAAATTTTTTAAGTCTGGAGGATACTGTATAGAGCCCAGCACAGAAATGGTCAATAAATTAGTTTTCAGGTATTTTATAGTGATTTTCAGATGAAGAAATAAGTTGAGAAGCTAAGTACACTGTCTAAGCGGGACTCTGGCAAATTTGTGTTAAGGCTGGGATGTGACCTCAGGTCTGTTCTATACCAAAGTCTGTGCTCCTTTCATTAGAATGAGGAAAGATGAAAATTTCAACTCCCCCCTGGGGGAGTTGGACATCCTCTGTTTAAGGAGGAAATGGCATTATATAAAAATTGGCTTCAAACCACTTTCCAAACAGTTCGCCCCTTCGTTTCCTATGAGAAAAGCCTAGGGCTGGGCCTGCAATCTAACATCTTGACCCCAGGCCCAGGGTGGATATTTTGTCTACTGCACACCAACAACGAAGCAACAGACTCCCCATCTGCAGGCTCTCCACTGCACAGCCAGCATATATTCTCCTTCCTGTGTCTTCATTCATTTGCCCAAAACCCACTGAACATTTTGGCTGTGCTGGTCATGGAATTTCTAGGATGACTATCTAGACATATCTCTTCCACTGGTCCTTCTCCACCTCACTATCACTCCATGGCTATGCTTGGATAGGACAGGTAATTTATTTTTAATTATTTTTTTCTGAATAGATAATACATAGTTCAAAATTCACATTGGAAAAAAATTCACACAGAAAAAGGAGTGTCTAGTGAAATCTCCCTCTTTAATCTGCCCAGCTCCCCTCCCTCACCACTGACAACCAATACTGCTGGCTTAAAAAATGCAACTTTGTGATATTTCTTCAAATTACTAGAATTAGCTAATCATGTTATAATATTAAGCTGACCACCTACTTAGAATATTCCAAGTGATCACTATAAATGAAATGATTTACCCACTTAGGTATTTAAGATTTCCTTAAAATACTTGCGTAGATGTTTTCAACATGTTAAAATGACTGAGGGTTAAAATTTTTTTGAAGAAAAAATACTTCTATTATGTATGACCACAACAGACATCTATGAATTATGGCTGGTAAGCATCAATTACTACAGAGCACAGCTCACCTGGTTCCTGTCGCGTGCATGTGTATACCTGATCTTCTGAATGAAGTAGAATATGAGCCAAGCTGAAGAAATAATCATCAAGACAATAAAGGATATTGACACGAAGACTAGAGAGCCTCTGCTGAAGTTCTTTGGTGGCATTCGAGTTCCAACAGCTATTGTCATTTGTACAGAGATGTTTTTCTCCAGGTAACTCAAAATATCCTTACCCCTCAATTCTGTAATCATGACAGCAATAATATCTCCAGTGCCTGTAATGTAAAATAAATATATATACTCAAGTGACATTTAAAATTAATAGGTAAAAATGCTACTTAGAAAAACTGCTACAATTTTTGCTAATGACCAGGGTTTGCAAATTCAGCTTTTCAACGGAAACGAAAGTTGGCACCAAGTGGGAACAGGAATTTGTTGTGTAGTACTTACGACTTAAAACAGACTGAAAGCATAACATGAATACAGTGTTTAGAGCCATATTAACTTGTCTTACAACTATAATTAAAGAACAGATTATTAAATCAGCCAAATGTGACAAGAGAGTACAAACATGATCTTATACAGCAATAGAAATCCAATAAAATCATGGCAGTTTCTCACTACAAAACATTTTCCACCTTTAAATGCTCTTTAGAAAGTCTCAACTCCTTAAGAGAAAAGCACTGTTATTTACAGTACAACAACTAGTACTTTTTGCATTAGTCATTCTTAGCAATGTTTATGGAGCACCTACTGTGTGTAGAACTAGCCCAAGGAATAGAAAGCAGTACAGGGTGTGCAGTTTTATAATTTCACTGACTTGGGACACAAACCCAGTAACAGAGTCCCAACAGTGAAATGCCAAATGGTGGCATCTGTTATTAACAATTAGAACTAACTCTGGTCCTGTGTCTAGACATGACTGGAAGAAGGTTCCTTTCTGGTTTACCAGAACCCTTCTGGAAACCAAACCCTCATTGAAACACGTCCAAGCTTCAACACTCTTGACTAGCTTGGCATCAAAATACTTCCAGATTCTCAGCTGCCCAAAGGTCCCACCACAGCCACAGTCCACTGACAGTAACCCTAAGGATGTTCTCAAGTTGCTCTCAGGGTTATCTAGTTCTCCCGCCCACGTAACTTACAGAAGCAGTCACCCAGAAAAGGCAAGTGACTCTCCTTAAGCATTTATTTGCTGTCTCTTTCCTCCTCCACAGAGGAAATACTTTCCCACTTCAAGGAAAAAGGGAATCCTTTCTAACAGATAACTAGCTGTCAGTGCTGACGCAGTGATAAAGTTGCAATATGCAACTTTATCATGTGCCTTCTTCAAGGAGACTGTAAGACTCTGGGGATCAGAGGAAGCAGAACATTTCATTTTGAGAAAAAAGAGCAAATTATAACCACTACTTCATATCTGAATAAGGATTGTGCATGTATAAATGTAAACCACCAAAACAAAATGAGCAAACCCCTCAAAACTTGCCTTTTTAAAGGCTTTTTCAGTGGAATGATACTAAATGTTTGGTTTATGTTTTTAATTTACAATATTTAGCTAAAAAGACTATCCTTACATCATCTGCAGTCAAAAGACCACATGCAACAGAAAAGAAATTCAGTACTTACAAGGATTTCATAACAAATTCAACCCAGTGGAACATGTAATTTTGTATTACCTTATTCAAAATTGTGCCAGCCACTTTGTCAGAATGGCAGTTTATCAGAATACTGATTTAAAAACCCCCAAACAAAAAGAAAACTGCAAAATTAAAGCAACAGTTAACATCTAGTCATCTTTCTGAGATAAGAGTTCTGATCAGCAAGTTAGAGAAGATCATATAATCATGCTAAGTCATTTTAAATTCCCATTCAGAAACCTTAGGTTTGTGCTTTAGAAATGTTGTTCAACAGGTAAGGAGCTGTGGAATGAGATACCAGGTATGGCTATAAAGTAACTGAGACGGATCCCACAAATGACACATGACAATCAGTCTCATTGCTTTATAATCACACCAGGTACACATGATTTTAGAAAGCAGTTCGGAGGCTCCCTCTTGAAGACTCAAGCTGGAAAAGGAGCAGGGAGAGCTGCACAGTGGCCAGGGGAACCAATCACGCAATGGTCATTCATTCAGAGACACTACATGTGCACTGCCTCGTATCAACTGCAAAGCTGTCTGGGAAAAGAAGCACTTAATTACATCAACCATCCGTTTAATGGTGTTTATTGAGCACATACTATGATCACATTCATCTTCCAAACGTCGTGGAAAATCACCTGCTGTGAAATAAAAGAAAATGTAAATGTTGGTCTCTGCCCCTGGTTCCTGGAACAAAGCTCCTAAAACCCTTGTGATTTCGTAAGTGAGAAGTGCACTAGGAGCATCTTTAGTCTGGTATTTGGTCTGTGCCCTTGGTTCCTAACATACAGCTCCTAAAGCCTTTGGAATTTCAGGGTAAGAGGAGTGCCTTTGGTTTTAATGAGGTGACTCGTGGTGAGCTCCTGGACAGAGACTGATCACCAGGAAGACCAGGCCATGATGAGAAGCTTGGAACTTCCTGCCACACCGCCATCCTCTGGGGGCCCAGGCAGGGACTGCAGACTGAGTTAATGACTGCTCATGCCTACGCAGCAAAGCCTCCATAAAAATCCCAGTAGCGTGTGGTCCAGAGATCTTCCGGGCTGGTCACCATGGAGGGCACCAGGAAGGTAACAACCCGCATTCTTTGCCCTATGAACCTCTTCATCTGGCTGTTCACCTGTATCCTTTAGCAGATCCTCCTTCATAATAAACACTTAACATAAATAAAAATATTTATAATGCAAGTGTTTCCTTGAGCTTTGTGAGTCATTCTAACAGTTTCAAAGCCAAGGAAGGGATAATGGGAACCTCGATTTATAGCTGGTTGGTCAGAAGCACAGGTGACAATCTGGGATTGCAATCAGATTCTGAAGGGGTCAGATGAGTCTTGTGGGACTGGGCCCTTAACTTGGGGGATCTGAGGCTCTCTCCACACAGTGTCAGAATTGAACTGAGTTAACAGGACACCCAGCTGGTATTGCTGAGAACTTCTTGATGTAGGGAAAACCCACACACATTTGGTGAACAGAAGTGTCTGAAAGTGTTCTGTGCAAGGAGTAAAGGAGACACAACAAAGGAGTGATTTTTCCTTATACCTGCTCTTGATTACATGAAAACGGCATCTACCCTCAAAGGGTGAAGGAGAAGCTTAAAGGGTCTAGAGATAGAAACTAAACACAGACAGTCTTGGGAGTACAAAGGAGCCAGAAGAGGGACAGGAAACAGACAGAGGTGCTGCTGGTCAGGCAGAATGGAGAACAATTACAGCAGGTCACACCCAGCAGAAGGGCTAGGTTCTTAACCATGTCAGGACATAAATCACTTAGTTAATCTGATGATGGGGGAGCTTCCTAGAAGAAAACGCCACGCTCCATCCCCATTTCAGGAGAGGTCCAGGGACCTCCTCATTCCCCACCCCTAAAGCTTATCTGGGCAACAGACCCTGATTTAAGTATCTCTCCAATATAACTTTTTAAGACATGAGAAGCCATGGTCCAGCTTTGCACCCAGAGAAAATGTAAGTCTCAGGATAAAACCAGGGTTAGATCAGGTAAGAGTTAAGGACAAATGAGACTATACTGATGTAAACACTCAAGGAGAGCTGACAAATATTTGGCAGCCCCACCACCAGTCCCACACCCTAAGCCCTTGGCAAGCATAGATAAATCATGGATATGGCCTCAGAGTCCCATGTATTTATGTCAATATACCCGCCAACCAGGACTGATTTCCCAGGGATGGCGATTACGTAAATAATGAGTCATGATCCTTGTTTTCACCTCTGTTCTTGAAAACCTCCTCCACTGTTATTCTTTGTGAATCTTTGCTTTCACTGCTTCATTGTGGCTACTTTAATGAACAATTCTATTCTTTCTCCTTTTATTCTAAGAATTTTCAAACCTACAAACAATTTCTATACCATACGAACATGCATACGCTTTCTGTTTGGGTTTGTTAACTGGTAGCCTTTTACCTTTTCCACCTTTCTTACCTTTTCTATATTTATTTTTGCTGAACCAATTGAGAGTAAGCTGTAAACATGACATTGCTTCCTTAAATACTTCAGCATTACCTCCTAAGAACAGGGACTCAATTCATTTATCACACTCAAGAGCTTGACCTCTGATACAATGCAGTTCCTGTAACATATGGTCCATATTCCAATCCCTCTGCCTGGCTCTTATGACGACGTTCAGAACGGTCCAGTTCAGTGCGCAGGACCCAAACAGGCCTGTGAACACCGTGTTCTGTTGTCTCCTCTGATCTAAAGCAGTCACTTTCGGTTGTTGGTGACATTAAAACTTTTTGCTGAGCTCAAGCCATCTGTTCGAACAATGTCCTTCAAGATTTGTCTGTTTGCTCACAATCTGATCTCCAAAGACATTTTTGGTGAGGATGCTACACAGGAAATGCTGTCCATGTGCCACATCTCAGAAAGCACGTGTCGGGTTTTCCCTCTACTGGAGACAGCAGCAAACTCTGTCCCTTGGCATGTCTGGTTATCTCCTTTCCTCGTTTTAATTAACAAGCAATCTGCAGGTGGTGCTTTCAGAATGCCCAGTCCCCAAAAAACTTTTGTTCAGTGCTCCGGGCACCACTCATGCTGGCCTGAATCAGTTACTACCATAGTGTTTGCAAAATGCTATTATTTGTTCTATATTTTGTTAGGTGGCTTTGTAATCAGAAGCATTAATATTTTTCCTACGTATCTTTTTTTCCCATTAAAAAAACAGAACTGCAAGCCAGAGACGGGTAAGATTCCTCAAGGGAGGAACAACCTAAGACAGGCACAGTCGCAGGGGGCCATCAGGTGAGAAATTGGGGATCAACAGAGGTGAGGCTTAGAACCTCAAGCCCCCTGTTTTGAGAGAAATCTTCTGCATCTGTGGATGTTTTATTGCCCTTGTCTAGCTTGGATTAACACATAGACTACAGGCACACACCTGATCATCTACATCTGCTCTCTTACAACACTAAACTATGTTTTCTACCTTTATCTTGCATCTACCTACCACTTCAGCATTTTATTAAAAAAGAAATAATAATAATGATAAAGGGAGAAATGTGGGATCCACATATAAATCAAGTATAAAAATCAAATAAATATTCATATTTGACCTGATTGTTTATAGTTCATAATGCGTGATCAAAACCGAAAGTTTCTGTGATGACTGCCCTTGTACTGTTCACCA